TTTTAGCATAATTTCTAATAAAATTAAAAAAAAAAAAACATAATCACAATTTCATTCTGCCCGTGCATTTGTTTTTAAAACTTCCTTCATTTCTTCCTTAACTCCTATTATAGCTCTTAAAAATCCTAAAAATGCCATTTGTTAATAATTTGTCTTTTAAATTCAGAAAACGCGTAACGTCGGCCTAACAGTGATTTAACGTATCTGGAAAAAGTGCATTTTTCAGGAGATAGAAAAAACCTTATTAATATATAAATTAGTATTTTTAAAGAGACACTGAACTTGGCACTACATTTATATTGCATTTTTGGCAGATACGTTTTCTCACAACAAATTTTTCTTGGCATCCGGATACGTTTTCTCGTTTTTGCTCTTTTATTTTTAATTTTTCATATGACGAAATTAAACCGAATATACAGAAAGATGCGTCTTTTCACAATGATTATTTTGATACCAAAAAGTCAAAATCGCTAAAATGTCAGATACGTTTAATCACTGTTAGGCCGACGATATGCTTCTACTGCGAAATAGCATAAAATCTTATAATTAAATCTTAGTCCGTTGAAATCTTAAGTCCGTTTTTAAGAAGAAAAAAGAAGTATAGGTTTTCTTTTCTTGAATTGTGTTCCTCTTATACGGTTTTCTATGAGAACAAAAAAATTTAGCAGATTAGTTTTGTTAGAAGAATTTTTTTTTTCATATGATATGAAGAAAAATATTTCTATCATATTGCATATGATCTGTATTGCGTTTACAGATCTATATTGCATATGATCTCTAATTCTTCTAAATAACAATATTTCCAATTTTCGGAAATGATTTGTATGTAATTAATAACATTATCTAATCTTAAATCAAATTATAATATTAAATGGTCAAATTAACCGTACAATTCCATAATGATGGGCTATAACTTCATTTAAATTAGTTTTTATCCTAAAAATATGCAATAATTAAAAAGTATTATGCAACACGATCATTAATATAACATTTTTCTTGAAAATGGTATTTTCACTTGGAAATGTGCTACACCTTTTCAAAAACCAAATTAGTTTCAAACAATTTGAATTTATTTTAAATTAATCATTTTATTGTTAACTTATAAACATTACAATTTATTTATGAATTTAATATTTTAATTTATTATTGTATATTCTTATTTAAAACATTATAAACTTACCTGTATTTTATAGCTTCAGTCATTTCCTTTAATTCTTAATTTCATATAACTTAATCTTTGGTTTTGAATTTAGCAGAAATAATGTAACTTTTTCATTTTAAACTCCATTCATTTTGCACTATTTTTAAATTATTGTATAACAGATTAAAATATTATAGAAATTTCAGAATTTTAAATCTCTTCTAATATAAAATGTTTTTTAAATACACAATTCACTTTAAAACGTCATTTTTAATATTCAGAATTATTTGAAATGAAAATTTACTATTGTGAATATTTCAATGTGACGCACAATAATTTTTGGCAACTTAAAAATTTAATTTAAAACTTAAATAAAAATTAAAGGTAATCAAAACAAATTTATTTTATGTTTTACTTTTTATTTTAATTACTTTTCAACTTTTTTTCCACTAAATAAAAATAACTAAAAATGAAATTGAAATATTGAATGAATTTTTTGGTTTTGCATTTTTTTCTGCCGCTGGAAATAAAAATCGATTTAGAGTTGTTAAATTACTTTTAATCCTTGTATATTCTTTTCACTTTTATTCTCATTTCCCTCTTTACATACAATTATTATAATACACAAAAAAAATGAATTTTATCTGAATTTAGTATAAATTATATTTATTGAATAATATCATTCCAAAAATTTCTTAAAAAGAAAAAAAATAATGTATAAAGACATCTTGTATATCAATAAATTTAGGCTTACCGACATGCTTAATACGACTGAAAGATGACAATGACATCATCAAGTAAGATAATAACATAGACACAATTAATTTCTTACAATCAAAATTAATTTGTTCCAATAATAAGGCTAAGTGCCTTATATTGGATGAGTAAATTTGCTAAACAAGTGAAGCAAGTAAATGAAGCCACTAATTTGACAGATCAAGAAAATATTGTGACATATAAGGACTTTTTCGTAAAAATTTTTGCCTTTTCTTTGTTTTAAATATAGGTTTTTAGATGCCATTTTTAGAGTTTTTGTGCAATCAATTTAAATAATCATAATTGTTTAAAATTATGACATTGTTGTAAGACGTTTACATCACAAAAAAGCTTTTGAAGATGACAGTCAAAAGTTAGGGCCCTTATTATGATCGGCGAAGCGAATTAAGTTTTTAACGAATATAAATTTTTGGTATTATGATTAGCGATTTCGCTTAAATTTTAGGCGAATGAGCATATAAATCTATCGAATGAAAATTCTGTGTGACAAGCTTGTCGAATGAAACCAAAAATCAAAATAATACATATGCATGGTAAATTTTTCAAAAGAATTAAGGTAGAAACTTGTGTTACAAAAATTCATAAATGAAATTTAGATTTTGTTAAATAATCGTTAAACTCTACAAGGCTGGTAATTTTACACGATTCAAAGCCTTTGAAGGCATACAGACGAATTTTGTATAGCATAAATTTGAAGAAATGCATATTTTCTTCAATTATGAATACGTACATATATACTTACATTACATTTACATAACTATAATTTTAATACAAATCTTGGTCATAAATTAAAATTTCCTCCTTTTTTTTTTTAAAATCAATTTTTTATTGTTTTTCATTTGTTTTCTTCATCTGTTTTCTTTACTTTTTTATATAGTGAAGATGTAAACTTTTTGACTGTTTTGAGAATTTACTCTTGTTATACCGATTTTCTACATATCTACTTCATTATTTTTATTAAAAGAATTTAACTATGCATTGATGAGGCAATTGAAAATTTAAAATGTATTCCAATAATTTTACATCGTTTCTGACATCCGATGTGTAACAACTCAAATACACAAAGTAATATGATTGTTAAGTGAAGTGAAGGGAAACCAAGAAAGTAAAACCAAAAAATTGAAATGAATAAAATGAAGTGTAATAAAAACGTAAGATAAATATGTTAAAGGTAACAAGAAAAAAAAAACCTTATATATTTTCTTAATTTTCTGGTAGGATCTTTGATTTTTATCCCTATATTATGTTTCTCATATTGTGTTTTTTTTTTTTAATTTTTAACAAGTTTTTGTATTCCCTTCTTGATCATAATTCTTAAGAAAATGTGTACACATTATGTATCTTTTAAATTGACTAGTTAATTTACTTCTGTTTACCTTGTTAATGTCTTGTTTATGAAAACTGTAAAATCATTATCGAATGATCTTGAATTTATGTACTCATTCTATATACATAAACATAAATTTGAATTGTTAACATTAAGGCGGTAATAATAATTTTGATAATTCAATTTTAAATTTTTTTTTTCATTAATATTTTTATGTTTTTACAAGGTACGCGTTCTTCTCCCCTTGGAATGTAAATTATCGAGATGTACGGTCACGTCCTTAAACATTATGAAAAACCCTTTTTTTTTCAATACTCAAACGGAACATACCTACAACGTAAAATCAAAACCTTAGATATAAAAATTAAGTACATATCTGTGGTTTGACATAGACGTTCTATTAAATGAAATTTTTATAAAATTACATGCTTATATTTACTCTTCTCACTCTTTTTTGAATAATTAAATTTATTTTGCATTCCTAAAAGCGGTGATTTATGTAATTTCACAGCAAATATCAAAGATTATTAAAACATTTTAATATTCATGAATATAATAAGTAGATGTTTTTATTGAAAGCTAAAATTACTATTTACTGGAAAGAAGAACTATGAAAGTGTCAATTCTATATTAATTATATTTTCTAATTAATTAATAATTACAATTGTATAAAAAAATATAATATCGTAAGCAATAAAATCTCGTTACGGTACTAACTAAATATAAAATATCATTTTATTTATTATAATATTGTCGAATATTAATTGAATTTCTAAACCTTACAATATCTTGTAGTACATAATACTCTGAACATAATTCAAAAAATTTCTACTTTAGTCAAAATAATCACCTTAAGATATTAGACTAAGGTAGCAGAATTAAAATAATGTTTGTCTTTTAAAAAAAATATTTCCAATTTCTAGCAATTTACTTAAATATTAAAACAAAACAAAAAAAAAGGAAAAAAAAATATTACTATCATTACTTTTTTGTTTACCTTCTTAAATTTATACTCATTTTATTTTTATGAACTTTTAATCCTTCAATATATTAAATTTATTTCCATCATTATTTTCTGGTATTTTTCTTTTTTATAGGTATGTTAACGTCGTTTTATAATTTATGATGTTTCGTTGTAAAAACTAAAAGTAATAAAAAAAAACTTTTTTAAATTTGTTTTCATAAACCCTCTTGTTTTCTTGTTTTATGTTTTTACTTATTGTATAGGTATTTTAATCGAACATTGCACGTCAATAAATCTATTGAAATGAATTATTTTGCCCTAGGAACTTTAAAAAAAAAATTTTCATTTGTAATTTTCTTGTTAATACAATATTGATTTCAAAAAAGGAATTAAATTTTTTGTTGGTTATCTTATTCGAAAAAATTAAATTGTAAAAATTAAATTGTTGTGTTAAGTGCAATTTCTTTATTCGAAATAAAGAAATTGCACTTAACACAAATAATATATGTAATATAATAATGATTTAATGAATATGAATTTTCTTATTACAAAAATTTTTAGTCTGTTCCGTTTGATAACTTATTTTGTATTTCTAATCTCAGATTATTATAATCTTAAATTTAAGTACTTATACTCGAATAAATATTATGAAAAATGTTTTAATTTAATCTGTTAAATTCTACTATCCATAGACTATTATAATATTTAAACATTGAGTAAAACTAGCAAGATTTTGATAATTTATGTTTTAAAATCAATAAAAAATTTTCATATTTTTTTCTGATTATAGTTATTTTTATTTATAAATTTACTTAGTCATCTATTACTAATTTCAAATAACATTTTGTTAAATTAAATATCAATTAATGTTCCTCTTGGTCGTTTTGCAGCTGTTGCATCATCTTTTTGTCTTGAACTCAAATCTGATAATTTACTTCCTTTTCTCATTAATTGTTTTTCTATTATTCTAGCATTATTAGCATAACTATCAGCGATTTCTCTCTAAAATAAATAAATAAATTTTCATTTTTAAAATATAAAAATAAAAGTACATATTTCGTTAAAAATCAACTTACAGCTTCAATTTCATCTTCTTCTTCATCAATTGTTGATACAGTAACGGAACTAAATTTACCCATATTTTTTGTATGTCTTGTAACCATAACTTTTTGTGGTTGATTAGCAGCTAGAACTTGACCAACAAAATCTTCCTTAAGATTATTTAAACCAGCACCCAAAGTAATTTTCTTTTCATTTTTTCGTCTAACTAATGCTTTATTTATTATAAATGTAACATTAGATTCAGGTGTATGTCTATAGTAAACGGGTAAACCACATTCTTTGCACTACAATAAGTAATATTTGTTTAATTCTTCAATTTTAAAAATTTAAATAAAACTTAAATTCAAAAATACATTGATGTGCTCATGATACTTTACTCATGATATAGATCAATGTATCAATGCATTTTTAAATTTATCTAAAGTTTACATAAGTAGATTCAATTAGCTATGTAGGTATTTTTAGTAAGTAAAATACATATTATAAATTCTCTTGACAAAGAATTTTTTTGCAAAAGATTGCAACATAATCCCAAAGGCTTATTCATTTATATTAGGTGTTTACAGTACCTATATACATGAATTTTGCTTTGAGATAAAAAATGTAATAAAGATTCACATGATAGAAACGTAATATGTATATAAATTTTTGCATTTATTAAATATAAATTGAAATAAAATTTTACTCACATTTAGCCTATATTGCCTTTCAATACCACAATCACGCTCTATGTGAACTGTTTCTCCAACATTAAATGTTAATTTGTGAGCACGCAAATTACCATCGATAACTCTTGCACCATCCCTTTTTCTTAGTGGTAATTTTTCTATTGGACAATCTAAAATTTTATTGAAAAATAAAATGTATTGAATCAAAAAAATAATATAATTATTTTACCTAAAATAAGAGATAATTTTCCGCATAAACAATAATAAATGTTTAATGGTTTCTCTTCATTGTATACTTCTTGATCTTTAGAATCTGAGCAAATAATACTTCTGGAAACTACTTTTGGCATTTTTCAATATAATTTTTTAAAATCGTTTTAAATATTATTTTTTTGATGAAAAACACAAATTTTAATAGTAAAATATTGAATGACACTCGAACGAAATTAATAAACAAAACGTATTTTTGACATAATACACAATAATGTCAAAGAACTTAGTGTCAAAATCAAAACTTAAAAAAAAAATAAATAGATGGCAGAAAATAAACTATGTACTAAAAAAATTTATTGTAAACATTGAGTAAAGAAATTGTGAATTGGTAATACATACTTATCAAAAGTTTTGACGTTAAAACTTTTACACAGTTTAATAAAGCGTTATAATATGTAATATACATTGTAGATATGTATATCGCTTATCAAAAATGTACATATTTATGTTGCAAATAGAATAACATACAAATATTCAAATTACAGTTTTAATGCATTTTTAAACGTCGTAGTGAGCCATGGAAAAAAAATATTTTTCAAATATTCTCAAATTAGGGCAATTGTACAGTTAAATATCAGTTAAATTTCCAATGCTCTACAAACTTCAGGATTCATTTTAATCTTAAATAGCGAATACAACAACCATACCATATAATTGAAAATGAAATTTAACAAAAAATTTCTATTTAGGTTATGTAGGAAAACCTAAAGTACTCCATAATAAAAAATTTTAAGAGTAATAACTGGGGTCCAATTGTACCAACCATTCTTTACTTATTTTTTAATCAATTAATCAAAAACTTACAAATTATCTGTTCCACTCATAAAATTAACAAACAAAATAGAAATGTGAAAGCAAAAGTTAAAGTAAAAGTGATTGGCGTAATAGGGACCCGATTAAACTATATTGGTAAAAATCTAAAAATAAATCGCTACAGTATATCTCGTTCAAAGCATTATTTGAACTTAATAAATGAATAAATTTGATTTTATTTTGTAAACATTAAAAAAGCTTAATTTTAGTATATTTTGATAATTCTAACCTTTCCCCATGATATTATTATATGAATTGACGGAAGTTGAAATTGCGCACAAAGAACCAATAAAAAATTGCAAAAGCTTTTTGTTTTTCTAAATAATTTAAAAACATCTCTTGCACAATCTAAAAAAGAAAAAAAAAATTGCATGCAACGGAGGTATTAAAATACCATTTTCAAAATTTATTACGCTTAATCATAAAAAAGCATAAAGTGAAAAATCGATTAATTAATTAAAAAAAATTGGAATTCTTCTTCGGTTCTTTGGCAATTAAAAAATTCTTACAAATGTAATTCATAAGAAAATAATAAAGAAAAAAGTTCTTCCAATAAGAAAATTATAAAAAATCAAATAAATAAAAAAAATAAATTGATTAATATTTAATAATTTAATTACACAAAATTAATACACATAATTCAAAACTATAAACATGAAGATATCATACGATTCTATACGGACAGCCTTGATGGCACCACTTTCTCCAAAAAATTTGCGACTATCAGCTATTTTAATAGCTATATATCAAGTTGTAAGTTTTTCGAAATAATTGTAAATTTCTTAATAGCCATGTAATTTTTCTCTAAAAATTATTTTACTTTTAATTATAGCTTACAGCACATGTAGCTCTTTTTCTAGCTCTTCTTGGTTTAGCTCATGCTAAACAAATGCGCAAAATGCTAGAAGATGATATCGCTGATCAAGATGATTTAGGGGCTTATTATGAATTTCGGCCATATAGAAATGAAGTGAGCTTATTTAGTGCATCAATATTGGCACAGGTTACCGAATTTTTCTTATATGTTGCAACTGGTAAAGTACATATGTATATACATTATCATATAATATTATAATTAATACTACTACTATATTATATCAACATATTTTAATAAAATTTTATTTTAGCTGTTGCATCTATATATTTTGCTGTTTGCTTAGGATTATTCTTTGGTGTATTTAAGTCTCGACCATGTTTAATTGTACCATGGTTAGTATTTGATTTAACATGGGCAATAAGTCGTATATTTTTAATATATTATGGACAAGATGAAAAATTTGTTTATATTTTTGGAGGAAAAGTTGAATATTGTAAGTACTTATAATATAATTGATTAATAAAATTACAAAATCCAATCTATACAATTATACAATTAATAATTTTGTTTTTAGGGGCATTTTGGACTGTTTACACTATTTTCGATTTATTAATTTGGTATATTGCATATTCATTTTATATAAATTTACGTGAGGTTAATAAGTTAACAGAAATTGCAACAGTAGCAATTCCATGTCCTGCTCCAGGAATGGTAAGATATTTATATATATATATATTTAATAATAAATATTTAATATTGCATGCAATATAATATAATCTGAAAAATCAAAAAAAAAAAAAAAAATCCAAATTTTTTTATAGGCACCATATCATTTTCGACGTGAAAATATGCACTTAGGTAGTAATGGCTACAAGCACATTCTCTATGACGCTGATATTGAGAATCCAAAAATTTGAATCAATCAAAAATATTTTCATCATTTTTTGTTACCCACTTCAACAATTTAAAGGAAAAGAAAGCTAAAAAAGGCAAAAAAAAAAAAAAACAAATTCATCTAGACACATTCATAATTTAATAATAATAATATTGTGAAATAAATGCTTAGAATCTGCTTTTAGTTAAAATTAAAGCATTTTAGACAAAAAAAAGAAAAAAAAATAGAGAAATTATAATATAATGTTAGCCTAAAGAAATTCACATACGCTCAGAATTCGCTACAATTATAATAGCCATAGACACACATATATTTATACATGTATTAAATTAATATTTTTTTTCTCTTATTTTCTTTCAAATAAGGATTCTGAAACTGATAGCAAAAAACAATACTGAACAGATCAGATATAGCTTATATTTTTAGAAATATTGAAATCTTTATGTAAATTTGAATATAAAACAGTATTGTTTTACTAAAAATCATAATATACAATAATATTTAAATTTAATTTTATAAAAAAAAATAAAAAATCTAAATTTGCTAAATAGTGTTTATAATAAATAATGAAAACTTCTCTATAATGCTATAAAAGAAATTATAAAATCTCTAATAATGTCACAAAATTAAAATTAAAAAATTTCATATTTACTTATATATTAAGAAGCAATTAGAAAATTTGCTAGTCTAATGCAAAATTTTTTTCATTAAATAAGTTTCATTTAAAAATTTTTTTCAAGCTTTCCTTCCATTTTGCTGTGGTTATAACTTAAAATTAAAAAAAAAAAAAAAAACAAGTGTTTAAAAAAAATTTTAAATAAATCTCAAAATTAAAATTTTAAATGATCAATGATTATAAGTGTATTGTAATAAAAAAATATAAAATACGAAATTAATATTTTAAGATTTCTTCAAGAGTTTACTATACTTATGCTATATAATTACAAGAAATGAATTTTTTTAAAACTCCACTAAAACATTAAATTAAAAAAAATTAAAAAAATTACAAAAATTTAAGAATTGTTATTTAAAATAAATAATAATTGTATTTGCTATATTTAAATTTATAAAATATTTAGTTAATTTAATTTTTTTGTTAATTTTAAAAATTAAAAGTACTAAAACTATCAGTGTATTAATTGAAGTATACCAAAATTTTAAATATTCTTTTAAATAATAACAAATAAATTTTTGATAAGTATATATAAAATTCATATTAATGTAATTTAAATATAGAAATAATATTGAAATTAATATTATAATTATTTATACAACAAACACCTGAATTTTAATTAAATATTAAGCAAAATTTATTTAATTTTATAAATACATCTGATAGTTGTTCATTAAAAGACAACCAATTTTTAGATAATTTTATCATTTTATTTTAAAATCTGTTATTATTTTTATATAAAAATTGAAAATTTAATTATTAATTTAGTTACTAATTAATTTATTTATTAAAGTTTATAAATTATTTAAATTATTGTTAAAGTTTTTAAAAAATCGCATAAGAAAACTTAAGAAAAACAATTGTGATAAAAGTTATATAATTATTATCGAAGAAAGAATGAAGAATAGAAAAAATATTTAGTTAATATTTTTTAAATGAAATTTGAAGAAAAAAAATAAAAAAAACAAAACTATTTTAAATTGTTATATGAAAATTTCATATTAAAAACAATAAAAAAACATATTTGGTATTAAAAGAAAAAAAAAATTAAATTTTTAAGCAATTGATGTCAGTATTTCGAAATCAGAATTTTTCTTTCTTTAATCTTTAATCTTCTTTTTATATTCTTATTCTTCACCTATATTCAACTAAGTATTTAGATGAATCCCATTTAAACATGATCGAATATTATTCATAATTATTTTACATTTTCAATCAAAATTTCCAAATTTATTTTTTAATCTGAAAATTACATTTCAAATGTGATATATCCAAAAGTGTTATACATATAAAATATCATTTCCTTCATTTCAAATGACTTAAAATTTTTACAAATTTTACAATATTCATTTAAATTTTTTAAATATAAATATTTTTAATTTCTAATTTTTTAATATTCTAAAATATTTCATAAATTTTGAATAGATATGAAATTAAAATTAATTTTAAATATTCTTCGACCAAATGGAAATCATTATTAAATATTATAATAAAAATATTAGATTTTAGATTTTTTTTTAAATTTGGTTTTACAAAAACTATATTAATCTAATTACTACTAATATTTTCTTCCTTTATATTGTATAAAAATTTCGTTGCTTCTATATAAGAAAATACATGGTTTTTTTTTGTTTTTACATTTGAAAAAGAAAGTCAAAAACACAATGAAAATGAACACAAAAATATTTAAAATCATTATAAATTAAAAATTAAGTTATAGTAAAAATAAAATAATAAAAAAAAAACAAAAAAATGTATTAAAAAATAAAAATTTTCTTTATGAAAAATTATTTTATTTTTGAAATTATATCCAATATTAATATTGTCCATAATATTGAACCACAATTACAGATTATCGAAATTCTGAAACTGCTTAACTATGTATTTAGAGAATTTACAGATTATAGAGAAATAACAAAGAATAGGTACTATTAAATTCAATAATTCTTAAAAAAATTAAGATGATGTCAAATTTATGAATAATTAAATTTTGCACTCAGTCTTATCTTTTTCTAAAATTTAAAACAAAAATTTAAGTAATCTAAGAATTTATAAAATTAGAATTCTAAGGTAACCCAATTTGAAATCCAATATGTTCTTCCTTTAGATTTGATTTACAATATAAAATTATAAATACTTCATCTAAAACTATTCATTCAAATTCAAAAAAAAAAAATTAATTATAATTATATTCCACAGACATTCCATGAAAATAATTTTAATCTTCGTATAAATAATATTATTTATTTATTTATTTAATTATTTCTTTCTTTTCGGCTGTTTCTTGATTCCGTAATTTTAATTTTAAATTAAAATCTTCAATTTCTTTCATTTTTTCAAGTTTTTCAATATCATCCATTCGTCGTTGTAATGCACGGATTTCACGAAGTTTTGATGCTATTTGCTGTTGTATTAAACCACGATATTTTTGTCCTTCACCAATTTGATCCATTTCAGCTAACCAATCAGCTCTTTCATCAATTTCTTGTAAAACTAAAACATAAAATAATAATCATAATTTTATTAACAATACCATAAATTATAGATTAAATAATTATTAATTTACTTTCATCAATTTGTTCTTCATAAGAAATTTCTTCTTGTTTCTTTTTATACATTGATGGTCTATATTTAATTTTATTATGTGTTAATGGTAATTTATGACCACACATTGTTTCTTGTAATTTTAATTTAGCAAGATCAGTTGGAACTCTTAGATTTGGTGGTGGACGATAACGATCCTGTTCATATGCACCACTTGCTCTAATTATATCTAAAGATCTTTTTTTATGATTTTGTGCTCTTTGTAATATTTCCAATGCAATTTGTTCTTCTTCTGTACGTCCAGGTTTTTTTATTTCTGGTAATGGTAATGGATCACCTTGACGCAAATGATAATTAAGTTTTTTACGAAGTGACATTGATAAACGTGATTCTGTCATTAGAACTGTACAATAGAAAAGAATATATAATTAATTTAACTTATTATGTATGAAATTAGTAAATGTATAAAACTTACGATTTAATAAATCATTAGTTTCTTTGCTATATTGAACTTTTGGTGGATGATATATACCACCTTTAGCAACTCTTTCACTTGGCCATTGCATATCTTCTACTTCCATTTTTGTAGATCTTGATGATTTTTGATCCATAATGTCTTAAATTTTCTTTTCCTTCGTTTATATATTATAAAATTTTATATTTTATAAATTTTTTTCATAAAACTTGAAGTACAAAAACTGATAAATACAAATAAACGTAAGGATATTCATACACTTGTGCTCCGTACAAAACAATTTTAATACAATTTTAATTTTGAAACAAATGACTTTTATACAAATGCTTCTTCTTTTAATAATTATTCAAAATTTCAAGAAAGATTGACTGTTTTAAAATGGGAAACTTCGATCAAACATTTTAAATAACAAAATAGTAAAAATATACAACAGCATTTGCTTTGCCTAAAAAATTCATTGTTGATTGGGTAACCGTTAGTAATTGTTGTTATATAACTTGGTAGTAAAATTACACTTTATAAACAAATCTAAGGATACCCCTTAGTAAAAGTTACGTTCCTTTCGGAATTTTTCTATTGACACTTTCTGGATAAATCTTTTGGAATTTTTCTACTAATAATTACATAAACCAATAATAATTTAAAGTAACAAAATAGTGAAATGTTAAAATTATACGTACACCCACAAAATGTTAAGTTAGTAATTGTTGGTAAGTTGCAAATATGGTAACAAATTGTAAGTAGCTACTTGGCAAAGGATAAAATAAATGTATGCATATTCACATTAAAATAGAAAATAAAACTAGCACGTGCATGTATACAAATTTACTCATACATGTAATATGTATTTTGAATTTGGGGATTTAGTGAAAATTGGGCTTAATTTTTCTAAAATTTAAATAATTTTTAAAATGAAAAAAATTACACTAATTTTTTTTTTTAAATTTAATTCAAATACTTTTTATTTCTTCAATAATATTCTTCGACAAATAAACACATCTACACACTTATATAAATGTAAATATATTTTATATTTTTATTTCGAAAAATTGATAAAAACTTACTGTACAACCTATTTTTCAAATTTATATATAAAAATCAAATATAATTTGTGCAGCAATAGAAAGTGATTTAAATTTAAATTTTTCTTAAAAACTAAATAGTTTCTTTAATGTTGTAGGAATAAGAAAGGGAACAGTAAATTATGCATAGAAAAGTTATTCAGACTATATTAATAGTTTTACTGATTTACTGTGAAATCATTTTGTTCTTTTTTCTCTTATTTTTATTTGTTAAATAAATTATTTAAATTACATGTAAAATGAATAATGCTCTTTTTTTTAACATGATGGCATTGGACCAACAAATTCATTTGCTGCTTCAGCATATTTATTTCGAACCAGATATGAACCGATAACTTCAGCTAATTCATGTGGTCTATCTTCTTGTACAGCATGACCACATTTAGCTAAAACTTGCATTTGAAATTTTCCTAAAAAATTCATAATTTTAGTTTTTTTTTTGTTTCAAACAAATTAAATTAAATTTTAATACCCTGCATCTGTCCAACTGTTAGAGCTTTATCCAAACCATCTATACTTGCTAATATCAATTGTTTTGTAACACGAATATTTAAAAATTTTTCACTTAGGCCTTCAAACCAACCCTTCCAATATATTTCTGACTTTGACAAATCTATTCGCCATGTATATTTTTTGTTATCATCTATCTCAGTGTTTGAAGCGCTATTTGGAATCTTAAATTTAGCAGGTGGTTCTTCATTTGAAAAATCTGTTTCTTCATTTTCATCTATACTCAAAGGACTTTTGAAAAGCGTTGGTTTACTTGTGTCTTCAAAATAGTCATCAGGTAAAGGTAGTTCATTGGTTGCTAACTTTTTGGTCACGCAACTAAAAAATAAAAATAGAAAAGAATTAAATATTCACTAGTTTTCTACTTTTGGAATATTTATAAAAATACTAGGTACTTAATAATTTGTCCGGGCATTGAAATTTTAGCACTGTCTAAATTTCGAACTTGCCCACTTCGGACACACCATTCAATTGCATTTGTAATACTTTTAAAATATTTAGGTCTTGATCTCAAAAAGCTCTGCATACTAGCCAAAGCTTCCAAAGCAGTACCTTCTACAACATCAATTACTGTAACGCCAATTAAGCCAGGTATAAGTTCCATATTGGCTACATGTACTGCAATCGCTCCTCCCATTGAATGACCAATTAAATATATCGGTGGGCATTGATCTGGAAAAAGAACAGAAACCAACTTTCCGACGTCTCTGCAATAATATTATATAATATAGTTGTGTGAATTCAAACAAAATAATTTATTTACGTGGCTAATGTTTCCGCTGATAAATCTTCATCATTATCTGTAATAGAATCACCATGTCCTCTTAAATCAACACACAAACATTGACAATGAAGCATTTGCGTTATTTCTTGCTGCAATTAAAATATATTAGAAATCAAAATTACAGAATTATTTACTTTAAAAATTACACTTAGATACGACCAAGTCAATCCGCAATATCCACCCCCATGTAACATTAATAATACTGGGCCAGATTTTTCTGGAGTTTTTGTTTTATAAATTCTGAATGTATTTTTTTCGTCAACTGCAATATCATCTTTTTCGGCGAAAAATTCATCCCACATTTTTGGCTTATAATCTTTACTTTTTGATCCTCTTCTCAAGGATGGATCGCTAAAATTAGAGTATATATCAAGTTCATTTAAAATAATGTTGTCAAGGACGCAATTATATGTGCAATTTTGTTTTTTTTTTTTTTATTTTTTACTTACAATTTAGAAACACGGCCAGGCATTGCACCTGATGGTGGTAAACGCGACTTCATTATTGATCTTTGCAAATGAGACATCTTTCTATTTATATTTAAACTTTATTTAAGTAAATTTTTCCGGTAAAAGTTTTTCTTTGCAATAACAAATACAAAAAAAAATTACAAATACTGACAGATAATTGCCTAATTATCTCGTTGACATCTCGTAGATTATTGACTTGTGAACAATAACCCCTCTGTGGTCAAGTATGTGAACTACTTAGCGAATTTGAAAACAAACAAAACTGATTACATTTTAGGAATTGAATAGTTACTTTTTCATTTTCTAATTAATTTCATAGACGAAAATAATCGAATAGACGAAAAAGAGAATCAATTAAACAATGTTTATTTAAGTTACTGTAAAATCTAAATGTTATGTATGTGTTCCAGAGTAAAAATTTGATTCATTTTTTTCAACAAATTTTTTTTCACTTCTATCAACAAAGGAAGGTTAATAATTGCGTGTTATATTTGTTAAATTCTCCAGAATAAATTATATAATTTATATACACATACATATATAATTTATACTTCAACATTTATTTTTCCATTTCAAAATAAATTTAAAATGTAGTATGTGACAACTAATTAAAAATTCATTAATGAATGCTTCAGAAAAAATAAAAAACAATGTTTCAAAGAAATGTTCCATAATGCTCTATTCCTAAATAGATGGCAGTAGACACAATACATATCATGTATTTTCTTGCAGAGATAAAAATATAAATTCTGTAAAACAGCATTTCTGTGTTACAAGTTTTACTCACACGAATTATGACATTTCAAATTTGAAAAAACGAAAATCTGAAAGTAAAATATTATATTCACTCTTGACACTACAAAAAATAAGCCATGAATTCACTCATAAAGAACACACAACAACAGTCGAACGGCATTTTGTTTGTATAAAACATGTTATTCTATATTTTACATACATACATGGAAACATTAATGTCAAAAATCGCCAGCGATAAATTAGGCTTTTAGGCTGTTTTACCAGCTTCGGTCAAATTCGCGACCGTTATTTCGCTTTATTCCGGCTAGTTTCATTTATACATTTGTCACTATGTACATATGTATGTATTTAATAGTGATAATTTTGGGGGCATTATTATTATAACAACTTCTAAAAATTGTAAGTTGCTAATAAGAGCCTTTTTCGTAAAAAAGAATACGGTTAATTTATAAATTGAATAACAGAATTTTCTACGTTATACCTGTTACATAATTTATAAAACTTACTTAATCTTATAGGTTTATAGGTTTATAATTCATAGGAATACATATTATATTAATAAAAAAATTTTTAAGGAAAAATTTATTAAAATTTTTTAAATATTTTACAATCCTTTTATTTAAATCAGTTTACAACTTCATTATACCTTTTTCTAAAGTAAAATTTTTGTGTTTATTTTGTAAAAATTGCATTTGTAAAATGAAAAATTAAAATTATTGTTTTATTTTATGTATAGGATATAAGAAAATAACAATGTATATAAGTATACATATAAATATGTATGTATGTATATATTTAAAATCTAAAAAATTAATTTATTTAAAAAATTAAGATTATTGTCATCATTTTTATTTACAATGGATTTATATTTGAAAATGGTGTTGCATTTCTTTCACAATATTTTACAAAATCATTTCCATAATAAAATAAAATTTTTTGTAGAGTTATAACATCAGCTTCAGCTTGATGTAGTATATTTGGTCTCTCATTATAATATCTTTCATATATTTTCATTAATTTATAAAAACCATATTTAAATTTTGGAAATCCCTTACTATTGTTTTCGGGTTGATTTGTATGAAATAAATTTTTTTTTACTTTCTCTCCAGTCTCTGAGTTTATTTTTATAGCTTTTCTGGCCACAAATCTATTAGTTTGATTTATGTCAGTTGCGAAACGACGTTTTGGTGTAGTTTCATTGATTTTTTGGATATCATTTTTATTTTTTGTTTCAGTTTTTTCTATCTCATCTAAATAAACATCTATAAAATGTATAAAAAGATCTTCATCTTCATTTAACAATTCTTTATAATCGATATTTTGTGATTCCAACTGATTTTTTTCTGTATTTTCATATTTGTTTTCTCTTATTTCCTTCGGTATATCAGCACCTTGTCTTATGGCATCTATATGAACAATAGCTTTATATGAATCAATACAATAAACATTTTCTGGTAAATTGGAATTTATTTTTTCAAAGGCTTTTTTTAAAATTGGAAAATCATGTTTATCACCATAATGTGCAACTAAACAAATTGGCCCGCGCAAATGCTGGAAAAATCCAGCTATAGTATTTGCAGCATTTTCATCAAAAATTTTTTCATACTCAAGTTGATCATTATATAAACCTTAATAAAAGAATTTTTTCGGGTTAAAACCTTTTTCAACATTAATTTTTTTGTTTATTTTTTATATCTATTAAGTTTTATTATTTATTTACTGATTATTACTTTTTTATCTCTATATAATATAAAAACTTTAAAAGTTTACAAGAGGAAAATTTGCAATCGGAAATTCTTATTCAAGAAAAAGACCAAAAAAACCAATAATTTATGTAGTTTTTCAAAACTGTTCGATTTCATTATTGAATTTACATTATATAATTTTGATTTTAATTCAAAATATTAATATATTTTTATTTGCATACTACTGTACCTGAATATTTTGAAGAATTTGGATGAATAACTCGTCGTGGATTAAATAATAAAAGTAATTTATGAATAACTCTGGGTGTTTGAGAACGAAATAATTCAGTTTTTGATATTGCCATAGCACAAAGTTCAATAATATTTGATTTATTAAAATTATATATAGGTAAACCTGTTGTTTCAATATCAAATATAACGTATGTTTCAAAATCTAATATCTTATTAGTCATTTTAAAAAAATTATGTATTTATTTAAAATTTATTAATTTATGTATATTTCTTTTATAATTATATTACAGACTGAATATTATTCTTATTGTATTGTATGTTTAATAAAAAAATCGTCATAATATATTATATGAATATTTCTTCCATTAGGGAAAACAAAATCAAACTATAAGCGTATCAATTTGTTTACATTTTATATATAAACGCACTTATATATTATATATCTAATCTAACATGTACATATTAAGTAAACATTCATTTACTTAATGTAAATAATATTGATGATTAATTTCTGTTTATAAGTAAAAATATTTTAGTGGATGCACAACCGATTGCAATTAGCGACTAGTAGAAAGCTCTATGCTGACTAACCAGCAAATACTGAATTGCAAATTTTAAGATCCTTAAAAGTTTTTTTTTTTTTTTTCATGATATTTTATTGCAACTAAGTTAAAATAAACCTATCTAGCAATTTTGTTTTGTTAAAGATTTGTTTATTGGTAGGAATTGACCCATTGGTCGAACTCCACAACTATTTTATCTTAATACAATGGTATTATTAAACCAAGTCAAAAGGTTTCAGCCTCTTCAATCTTCTATTTTGTGATGAAGGAATCAGCAGTTTCTTGATTTCATCATTTGGATGTTGGTGAGCTCTATTTTTATGCTTTGTTGCAAAAATCTTAATTTCATCTGCTACCTGGTTTACTTGCAGATCTCGGTGAATGACGTTATTCCTAACGTACCATGGTGCCGCAGTAATATTTCTTAGTACCCTACTTTGTAGTACTTGTGTTTGTTGATAATTTGTTTTCTTTGTACATCCCCAAAGCTGGATGCCGTATGTCCAAATAGGTTTTACAATCTGGTTGTACAACAACAGTTTATTTTGCGTGCTGAGTTTTGAGTACTTTCCAATTAACCAGTCGAGTTTCCGAATTTTGATTTTCATTTCTTCCTTTTTCTTTTTGACGTGCTCTTTCCATTTTAGTTTGGTGTCCAATGTCATACCCAAGTATTTTGCAGTATTGGCATACGGAATCTGGTTTGAGTCAATATATATTCTTTTGGGTTCGATATTTCGGTAGGTGAAATTTACATGTACCGACTTTGATTCGTTAAGCTTTATTCTCCACTTTTTAGTCCATTGGGTAATTTGATTGACTGCCTCTTGCAATCCTGACGTGGCTTCATCCACTGTTTTTCCCGTAGCCAGAATCGCAGTGTCGTCTGCAAATGTAGCTATAGAGTAAGTATCATTAGTCGGTATATCCCTAGTAAACAGGATGTACAAAACAGGTCCAAGGACACTACCCTGAGGAACTCCAGCTCGAATTGGTTTTAAACTCGAATACTCGCCATCATATCTGACACGAAATGTCCTTTCCGCCAAGTAAGACCCTACAATGTCACAGAAATCTCTAGGTAGTATATTATTAAGTTTGTGCATTAGCCCCCTGTGCCAGACTTTGTCGAAGGCCTGAGCAACATCCAAAAACACAGCGGCAGCGATTTCTTTTCTTTCTAAGGCGTCTTCAATTATATTAGAAATTCTGTGAACTTGATCTATGGTAGAGTGTTTTGATCTAAAGCCAAATTGATGTTGTGGAATTAGTTTTCTTTCTTCTATTATCGGCGCCAGCCTTAACAGGAACAATCTTTCGAATATTTTCGACATTAGAGGTAGCAATGAAATTGGCCTGTATGAGGTTTTATCATTAGGCGACTTTCCTGGCTTCAGGATCATAATTACTTCGGCGACTTTCCACTGCCTAGGAACATACTTTTTCTCAATTACCGCGTTTATTATGTATAGGAATTTCTTTAAGGCTTTAACAGGCAATTCCTTTAGTATTTTACCTGTAATTAGGTCATATCCAGGTGTTTTTTTAATCTTTACGTTGGATTGAATTTCATTTTTTAAGGCTGTAAATGTAACTTTAGGAACTTTCAGCATGTCAGTGTTTGTCAGGAAAGGAGTAAATTCCTCTGACGTCAATCTTGGAAGGGGGGTAAAAGTTTTTTCCAAGTGGTTCGCAAAAATTTCGACAATCTCCTTGCTCTGTTTGATCCAAGTATTATTTTCCTTGATGGGTGGCATTTGGGTTGTTGGTCTATCTAGGTTTTTTGCAACTTTCCACAATGAGTAATCATTCTCCTTGTCAGGAGATAACGAGGATAAGAAGTGTTGCATTGTTTTATTTTTGTTTTCCTGTAATGCTTTTTTTAGCTGATTACTGATTTTGTTGAGTTTTGTTTTATCAGATGGAGCTCTGGTTGTTTGCCATCTCTTACGAGCCCTTCGTTTTTCTGCAAGTAGGAGTCTGATTTCTTGAGGATAATTACTGCTCCGCTTATTTTTGTTATTATAAATCATTTTAGGAGTGCTATACCAAGCTGCTTCTTGGATATTTTTGATCAGGTTATCTAACTCATCTTCAATTTCATTTTTAGATTTTAGCGAAACTTTTAGATCGACTTGTTCTTCCAGATGGCTTCTAAATTCGTTCCAATTAGTTTTGTGATTTGTCAGAGCTAATGGACCGTCTCTAACTATTATGGACTTACTAACAGTAAGAATTATTGCTGTATGGTCAGAAATTAGATCCTCACATTCCTCAATGAGCGTAAATCTTTCCGATAATCCCCTTAGAATGAAAAAATCAAGCAGATCTGGAATTCGATTACTATCTGTTGGCCAATATGTTGGTTTTCCCGTTGAAACGAATTTGCAGTTGTGATCTTTTCCTGCTTCATATAATGCTTTACCTTTTGGTGTTATTAGTCTGGATCCCCAGTTCACGTGCTTAGCGTTAAAGTCTCCTCTTTTAAGCGAATGAATCCTTATTGTCGTTACTTGCATAATTTCTAACTCTACTTTGTCTTCTTCGTTATGTTTAATATGACTCTTGATGAAAATTGCTGATCCCCCCTCAGCCTTACCGTTTGGATGGCATGATTTGTAGAAACTATAACCCCTTATATTGATATACGAGTTTCTAGGTAAGTGTGACTCAGATATTAAACAAATATCGATGTCGTGGTTTATTAATACTAATTCTAATTCGTGTTTGTGTTTCAGAACGCCATTTGCATTCCAGGTCAAAATTCTTAGATCTGGCATTATCTTATTTTGGCTTTAATTAGATTAATACTGTTCTCTAGCTTGTTTATTTTGTCAAACATATTCCTTTCAGCTTCTTTGTGCTCATCTAACTTAACCAATATTAATTCCAGAAGAGATTTCTCATTCGTATTATCTCTTCCAGGAAGGCTAACGTTATCTCTTGCAACGTGGGCATAGGTGTTTTTTGACATACATTTGATGATCTCGGGATTATTCACCAGATTAGTTGGGGTTTCATTATCTAATTTCTGATGCGTCTCCTTTGATCTTTTGGGCTGCTGCTTTGCTTTAATAGATTGATTCCTTCTTTTTTGGAACTCCTTGGCAATTTCACATCCCCGATAGTTAGCTGGATGTTTTCCATTGCAGTTAGCACATCTCGGTTCAATACTTTTGCTCATGTTACAGTGTGCTGTCATATGGCTACCGGCACATCTAACACATTTTGGAATTTTCTTACAATAGGATTTGGTGTGATTATAACTTTGGCACCGTTTGCATTGTGGTATATATGTAGAGTTCTTCTTTACGGGCTCGATTTTTACGACCATATTCAAAATAGTTTTTATGCTGTATATCTTCGTTATGTTTTCTTTATTGTCAAAAGAGAGTCTAAATAGAGGAAGCTTCTTTGTTGTAATACATTCTTTTCCCTTGTCATTCACGGTCTTCTCTTTTTTGAGGATATTAACGGCATTAATTATTTTAAACCCTTGCTGCTTAATATCAGATATGATATCCAAAATATCACAGGATCCGTGCAGACCTCTAGCTATGACATTTATTGGTCGGTCATTTTTATTTTCGTATGTAAACCACTGCACTTTTTCTTTTTCTAATTTACTAACCAGTGCCCTATAGGAATCTGAATTTTCTGTGTTAATTTTCCAAACATTATTTGCCAAGGAAACCATTTTATATTTCTTCGTTACAGAATGAACTAAATTTTGTAGAGACTTGAGATCGTTTATGCCCACAATGTTAATTGGAGGCGGTGGATGCTCTTTACTTCTTTTGTTACCTGCAGAGATTGGAGGTTGTACATTTTCTGTAGGAATGTTTTCAACTGTTGTTTTAGTTCCTGATGTTGTCGGAAGGCTATTTATATTTTCATTGTCTGTGCAATTTCCAGTTAGAACAACATTTTGATTAATTGGCACAGAAAGGTTTTCTATATCAGGAGAGCGTTTGGCTTTCCTTTTTTTAATAGGTCTTCTGGTGACTGCAACTCTTTCTTTCGAGTCGGAATCAGTTTCAAAATGAGTCAGTTCCGTAGAACTTGAACTATTCTTTCTTTCGTTCCTCAAGGTCTCCTTTAATGATGCATTTTCAGCTTTGAGTTCCTTAATTTCATTCTTGAGCTTTTCACAATACATCTCTATTTGAGCAAGTCTTGCATTTAAGTCATCATTTTCAGGATTATTGGTACACGAGTTATCTGCTTCATTGTTTCCCAAATCTTCCCCTTTGTTATTTGAATTATTTGGTGTAGCGTTCTGTACTATGATAGAAGCCTCATTTTTTTCAGAATTCCTAGCAGGGAGTGGTCTAACAATTTCAGGTGGAGTACGCTTAGTTAATGTACATTTAAAAAATATACCTGCATTTTTTGTTGCCGGAGTTTGTGCCGATACTTTTGGACCTGCCGACTTTGGAGTTGAATCAATTGGCAATAGTTGGCCCCCCCCAGAATCCGTGGGGCCGACCTCCGCAGAGGGTGGATTTACCATTTTACATGGTTTACCACCTGGGGTAAATAATCCAAGTGTTTTTTCCATTGCATTTTGATTTACGTGTAATCCTCGCCAGGAGCCCTTACAAGGTGCTATCAGCCGGGCCAGCTGAACCTTGGTTTGTTAACGAGGTTGTTACTCCCCCCCCTCCTCCTTTTGCATTCGGACTTGGGACCGACAATGGCGGAGTTTCCTTAAAAGTAAAGAGCTTTCTAATAAGTATTTTAGAGTTTGATATAAATATGGAGCTTTTTATTTTTGAATGGTTTTCATTTTGGTTTTCATATTTTATTGTTATCAATAAATTTTTTTATTTTAGTTTTGTTATTAATATCTGTATACATATGTACATAAAGTACATTTTTCAAGATAAGTTCAAATCAGTAGGTGCCTATTAAACTATCTGGATTGTTGATATCTTTGAAATTATACATACATATTATATATATACCTACCTATTTAATTTTACATATATCATACAAACTTGTATTATTTTTAATTATATTTTAGAACAAGTTTTTTTCATTGTTTTTTATTTTCGGTTTACGTGTAAAGCTACTCTTTACTAAATTTATGGTTTTAAGACACAAAGTTAGTTTCTCTAAATTTTACTTCTTTCATTTTGTAATTAAAATTGAAATGTATAATAAGGCTAGTCTTATACTCTGTTTGAGAACAATAGAAGCGGATATTATTTTTTTCAATTGTTATCACCAACATTCTCCGGATAGAAAAAAATGTCATACCTATAAATTTGTGTTTTTCCTACAGTAAACATTAATTAACTACCACATTCTAAATTATGTAGGTATACTTATTAACAAAATTATGATTCAAGCAAGATCAGTAAAATTTTTTTCTGTACTTATGATTCATAGATAATTGACTAATTGCAATAAAAATGTATAATAAATTTTATTAACTAAGAATCTAACTATATTATAATTTTAAAAAATTATTATAAAAAATTGTATAAATCTTATTTTAATTATAGAAAAATTAACTTTAAAATTTTCAAAAAATTATTATTAATCATTTAATAAATTGCTTAAAAAAAATATTATCAACACTTAATACAAAACGTAAAGTTGTCTATGTTTTACTTCCCAATGAATTCACTTCAGAAAATGGTATAGCATTCAATTCAGAATATTTCACAAAATCTTCTCCATAATTAATAATGATTTTTTGTAACATTTCAACATCTGCACCAGCATGATGAGATTTTTTCGGCTCATAGAAAATTCTTTTAAAAATTCCGGTTAGAGTGTAATAACCTTTCGGACTTCTTGGTATAGTTATTTTTTTGGGTGTCTCAGATGTTAAATCAGATTCTGGTGATTGTTTGAATAATTCCCTTTTAACTTTTTTGTCCCCTTTGTTTTGTGGTGAATTGTGGGAAATTTCACAATGATTTGATAAAATATCGTTGCGATTTTGTTTATTTTCCAAAAGTTCACTATAAGTATTCTCTTTTGCTTTATTTCCTTGCATTTTCGTAGGACGATGTGGTGTAGTTTCATTTATTTTTTGAATATCAAATTTTTCTTCTTTCAATGTGCTATTTATTTCGAATTGTTCTTTTAAGGAATTTTTTACTTCGTTATCCAATAATGCCTCTTCCAAACTTAAAAGTTTATCAGCTTCTTCCTTTTCTTTATTTTCTTCATCTATTTTTTTTGTGTGATCAATGTATGGGATAGCTTTGTAGGTATCAACACAATACACATTTTCTGGTAGGCTAAGATTGACTTTTTCGAACGCCTTTTTCAAAATTGGAAAATCAAATCTATCTCCATTATGTGCTACTAGGCAAATTGGCCCTTGTAGATGTTTAAAAAATCCTATTATTGTTTTGGCAGCATTTTCATCAAACGAATTTTCATGTTCTAACTGATAATTATCCAACCCTACAAATAATGTTATCTTTAGTAAAAATATTTTGATAATTCTTTAAGTAATTGAAATTTACCCGTTATTTTAGATGATTCGGGGTCAATTCTCATTCGCGGGTTAAATAGTAAAGATAAATTATTGATAATTCTTGGAGTTTCGCCGGTTTTGGATTTAACTATATCATCCCTTGATACTGTTGAAACGGCGAACTCAATTATATTTACTTTATTGAAATTCAAATGAGGTAAACCAGTTGTTTCAATATCAAAAACAGCATATGTTTTAAAATTATTTTTATTATTCATTTTATTCACATCCGATTAAAATAAGCATATAACATGCTTCGGTGAGTAATACAACAAGAATCGTCTAAAATTTATTTCATTAATAAGCAAACCTAAGTATTTCATTCACAAATTCGTTTATTTAAACAAAAATTTGACAATTCGCATTTGGATGGAACTTAATTGAGTACAACAAATTCGTTACTCCTTGACAACTAGTTGTTACTCCCGGGTTATTCTTAATCACAATCGTTTTCAATACTTTAAAAATTTATTTTGTTCTTTCTTTCAATTTTTGTAAATAAAAAGTTCTGAGGTTAGCTTTAAGATAACTCAATTAAAAAATAACTGAGTTATTTTTTGACCGCTTCAAAGTACACGTTAAAATTAATGCGTTCGTCAAAAACGCAAATATAATAACTGCTTAAGATAACTTAAGAGTTAAAATTTAGATAAAATTTAATAAAGTAAATTCGTGAATTGGCCTAATTTTAAAATCCCCATCGTTTGTTGTATTTACATAGCTATAAATTACATGGCACCTTTCTTATTCACTTTGTTTGACCCGTTGAATTGAAAATAAAAAATATTATATATTAAGTATTTTCTTTACACGTAAAATTTTTTATATTATCCAAATCTTAAATGTTTATTGCCATAATTAAGTTACTATTTCTATCAGGGCTGCGATAAATGCTACATTTTTTAATTAGATCATAAATATACTTCTTCTTTTCTTCTTTTTTAAAGCGTGAAATTTTAATTAAAGTTTAAAGTTCACTGTCAAAGTCAACATTTTATTTTAAAGAACACGTCACAAACATAATTTTTACATTTCTTAGATTTTGACAAGCTTCAATAATCTTATATGTCATCGAAAATTTGCATCATCTTACATAAACTTCTTAAATTTTATTTAAATGAAAGCTAATCGCATCTTCGATATAGATACGTTGTTGAAAAATCAAATGGTTATTTTATATATATATCTATGTTCTACATATAATTTGCCTTGATTATATACAACATTATTATCTGAAAAATCATAGTTAACTGCAAACGAATGTAAAAAGCCTAGAGTAAATGTAAGAATGTTTATATACGAAAAATTAAAAATATGATCCCGTTAAAATTAAGGAAAATATATGATCACGGATTTTCCAACCTAACTACTTAACGACCTGCCCAAGTTATTGACAATTGTCTGTACAAAATTATTATATTAATTGTTTTATATGACATTATTAGATTTGACATTTACAAAATAACGAATTACGAAATGTCCTACATAAACACTTGGTTAAATGATGTTGTTAAATGTCAAAACCAAATTGACTTGTTTAAGTGTTAACAAACTGTCAGTTATCCGGAGTATTTTATATTTTCATTTCGCAACTAAATTTAATATTATTATTATTATTATTTAAATTCGATTATATAAAGGACTATCCTTTTGTGTTGTTCGTTAAAAAACAATTTAACGAGGTTAAAACGAGAAGGTGCATTCAGTATGATATATTTTTTTTTATTAAATTCTTCATAACTTATAACCACAAATTTTAAGGATTACAATTGAGCAATATTACTTAAGATAACTTGTGATTATAAAATATTATGGCACATCGAATGTTAGCTTCAACAAAAGTTTTAGAACGTTGTGCAAGAAGATTATGGCAAACGCCGAACTTAACAAATAAGGTAAATAATATTTTAACATATTTAAATAGACATGATGCAATGTGGTGGAATTAATGTTAATTATAGTTTTATATATTATACATAGTTTTATATATTTGCAAATTCTTGGTATTTTTTTTCACAAATTTCAGCATTTAGCTGCTATTAATCAGATAACGGTAGATGATATTCTCAGTACACTCCGTTTATGGAGTGAAAAACCTCCTAAAGGATTCGAAAAATATTTTAGGTCCGGTTCTCCGAAAACGAAAGCGGAAACCGAGGATGCTTCTACAAAAAAATCACCTGAAAAAAGTCAACAAAGTCAATCTGATCCAAGTAAATCTGATTGGCATTTTGGAATGTTTGCGAACCAACCAAAAGCAAAACGGAGCGGAGGTGGAAGTGGTAGACCCATTGGCGGTGAGGATAACGATCGCGATAAATGGATGATGTTAGGGGCTGTAGGAGCCATTTTATCACTTGGAATTTGGGCTTTCTTTGAAATGGGATATAAAGAAATAGCGTGGAAAGAATTTGTTACTAAGTAATATATACATTTTTAAAAATACAATATAGTTCATTTTATAAAAAAGTTTATACTTATGTAAATATACGTTAATGTGCTAATAAAATTTTTTTTATATTTTTTAAGCTATCTTAATAAGGGAATTGTGGAAAAATTGGAAGTGGTTAATAAAAAATGGGTTAGAATACGATTATCTCCAGGAAATTCTGACTCATCAGGAATATTATGGTTTAACATAGGAAGTGTAGATTCATTTGAACGAAATTTAGAAAACGCTCAAATAGAATTGGGAATAGAACCAGTTAATTTTATTCCAGTGATATATAAAACTGAAGTTGAAGCATCAAACTTGACAGGATTACTTCCTACTTTACTAATAATAGGCTTTTTAGTATTTATGATGAGAAGATCTGCTGAAATGATGGGAGGTGGGCGTGGTGGTCGAAGGGGGGGTGGTTTGTTTGGAGGTGTAATGCAATCAACCGCAAAATTAATAAATTCCAATGAAATTGATGTCAGATTTAAGTATATATGTTCATTTTCTGAATTTTGGGACAACAATATTTTAATATTTTTATTTTAGAGATGTAGCTGGCTGTGAAGAAGCAAAAATTGAAATTATGGAGTTTGTAAATTTTTTGAAAAACCCTCAACAATATATAGATTTGGGAGCAAAAATTCCAAAGGGCGCTATGCTGACTGGCCCTCCAGGAACTGGTAAAACTCTTTTAGCAAAAGCTACTGCTGGAGAAGCGAATGTTCCATTCTTAAGTGTTTCTGGATCTGAGTTTTTGGAAATGTTCGTCGGTGTAGGTCCATCACGAGTTCGTGATATGTTTGCCTTAGCACGTAAAAATGCTCCTTGTATTTTATTCATTGATGAAATAGATGCAGTTGGTAGAAAGCGTGGCGGAAAAAGTTTTGGAGGACACTCTGAGCAAGAAAATACTTTAAATCAATTATTAGTAGAGATGGATGGTTTTAATACGACAACAAATGTAGTTGTTTTAGCAGCGACAAATCGAATTGACATTCTTGATAAAGCGTTATTACGACCAGGTCGATTTGACCGACAAATTTATGTACCAGTTCCAGACATAAAAGGGCGCGCTAGTATTTTTAAAGTTCATTTAGGAAATCTTAAAACTAATTTAGATAAAATAGATTTATCAAGGAAAATGGCCGCCTTAACACCGGGATTTACAGGAGCTGATATTGCAAATGTATGCAATGAAGCAGCTTTGATAGCTGCTAGAGATTCTAATGAATCTATCATAATGAAACATTTTGAACAAGCTATTGAACGTGTTATTGCTGGAATGGAAAAGAAAACAAATGTTTTAGCCCCTGACGAAAAACGAACTGTCGCTCATCATGAAGCTGGACATGCTGTTGCTGGATGGTTTTTGGAGTTTGCAGACCCTTTATTAAAAGTCTCTATTATACCTAGAGGAAAAGGGTTAGGATATGCACAATATTTACCAAAAGATCAATATTTACTATCGAAGGAGCAATTGTTTGATAGGATGTGCATGACATTGGGTGGACGAGTCGCAGAAGAAATATTTTTTAATAGAATAACAACTGGTGCCCAAGATGATTTAAAAAAAATTACAGACAGTGCCTATGCTCAAATTGTACGTTTTGGTATGAATGAAAAAGTTGGCAATGTTAGTTTTGACTCATCTAGTGGTGGTGATCCAATGTTTACTAAACCATATTCGGAAGAAACAGCTCAGTTGATTGATCAGGAAGTAAGATCCTTAATTAACAAAGCACTCGAAAGAACTAGAAATTTATTAACAAAGCATAAAGACGATGTAGCAAAAGTAGCTGAACGATTATTAAAAAATGAAGTATTAAGTCGCGATGATATGATCGAATTATTAGGTCCCAGACCGTTTAAAGAAAAATCAACATATGAAGAATTTGTTGAGGGTACTGGTTCCTTTGAAGAAGATACTTCATTACCAGAAGGTTTGAAAAACTGGAATAAAGAAAAGGAACCAAAAGGACCTTCACCGAGCGGGGGTGACACAAAACCTAAACCTGATAAGGCAGTAGTCTAGTCTGATAGAAAATTTTCTTTTGTTACTTATGTATAAATGTCCTTAATTCTTACTTAAATTAATTTGTCAAAATTTTAGTTTTCGTTAATTTTTTTTTTTTGAGATTTATATAACAGGATAATTTAATTTAATTTACAAATGCTACTTATTTTTGATGTAGGAACTTATCAATTGAAAATACTGTAACGAAATTTTTTTAAATTTTTGAGTAGAAGTAATAATGCGACATTTATACATAATTATGTATGTATGTATTTAAGTAGATATCATATTACATATTTGAATTGTTCCATTAATTTATCATTTAAAACGATCATTTTACAAATATATTGAGAAAACAAGCTTGTTCTAAATATAAAAAATAAAAAGTTTTGTACAAAAAAAATATCAAATAAAATCTGTTAATTAAATTTTTGTGATATGATTTTATAAATTGTTTATTGAATTTTTTGTACATTATAATATTGCAGGACTAGTTTTTGTATGCAATTTCCTTATGCAATTTTTAATTATGAATATCTTATAGAAAAAAAAACTTACCTGATTAATAGCGATATTATTGATAATCCTTAAGTTGGGAGTAGTTAAACTTGTGCAGAACAAGTAATTCAATTCATTCTCAACTGATGAGAATTTATTCTTATATTAAATTTTATTTACACTTGATAGTATTGAAAAGAATTAATATGGGTAGGTATAAGTACCTTCTTAGTAAAAACAATGTATAAATAGTAAAAAATTGTATATCTAAATAGCCATTATAAGTAGGTTACATTACAACCTACTTGAATTTTTCATTATTTTCACAATATTTAAGTGTTATAAAAAATTATTTTCTATTCTTTATCATTTTTAACACAATACTTAAATTAAGAAAAAATAAAAGTTTTTAACATAGCCGCACTCAATTTAAGCGTCAAATGCTAATTTTCAAGATTATCAATTAAAAAATTTTAACCGTTATAATAATATTAAAGCAAGTTCTCCACAATTTTATTGTACACTTACATAAGTATATAAAGTAAAAAAAATATTTAAAATAAGTAATATTTATTTGCACTATATAAAATACTAGTTTAATGTCATATATAAGTCATTTCAATACAATTTTAGAAAACCACTTCTTATTAAAAACCTTTTCCATTCATTACTTTTTAAAAGCCGCGAAAAACTAAATCCTTAACTGGCGTATTTTTGGTATTTCAATCGAAAAAGTGTTGCCGTTTCAATAGATTTCTGCGTTGACAAAATAATTAACGGAAATCGAAAAATTATGTGTACATTTAATCCATTATTAATTACATGAGGTATATAGTTACTTTAATATTAAAGTATTGTAGTTTTAGCTATACCTATATATGAATGTGTAAAATTTGGGTTCAAATTATCGCTATAACGATATTTTACTCTTCTCATTTTAAATAGGCAGAAAAGAGTCACTTTTTAATTTTTATAAAATCGATACAATCTATCGATACTAATTTGTTTTGCTTTCCCATCCCTAAACTGACCATGTGCGTTACGAAAATAAAGTAAATATTTGACATCTGACAGACTCAATAATATTATCATAATATTATAAATAAACAAACAGAAAGAATGGCAAAAAGGAAAGCTGAATTATTTGGTAAATTTATTTTAATTTAAATACAAGCATTTATTGTGAAAATTTGACAACCTATTTTTGAACATTTAATATTTAAGAGGAAACTAGTAGTTCAGGTGAAGAGGATCCTATAGTGGATGAAGATATATGTGCCAAAAATGATTTGGAAACACAATTTAGCAGTAAATATTGCATATCAAGTGAAGAAGCCGTGTCTTTAAAACATGTTTATGTTTTATCTTTAACTAGTAATGAGTAAGTACTTACCTATACAATATAAAATTCATGTTAATATTATGTAAAAAATTTTTTCATCAAATTTAAAATAAATTGCAGACAGTTTAATAGAATTGCTGCAGGAATGTCAAATGGTCAAGTTCATTTGTTTGATATCCAAACTGGAAGTCGACTGGATAGAATACATCCAATAACACCTTCAGCAAAATCATCTTCAATATGCGGTCTAAAATTTTTAAATGAGAATACTTTATTAGTTGGAAAGACTAGTGGTAAAATATTTCTATATGATATTCGGACTAATAAGAAAGTACAAACATTTGAAGGTAAGTTTACTTGGTTAAGCAAGTTCAATTTTTATAGAGATTTTTATGCTTTATCAAAATTATTGCTACATACTTCATAGGTAAGTAGCTACTAATATCCACTAATAAAATATAAATTTTTAGAAAAAAATGAGGATAGTCCAAAACCTATACTTTGTTTTGATTCAAATATTAATGAGCGAATTATATGTGCTGGAACAGAACAAGTACTGCGTGACAGTTATATACTATTTTTTGATATAAGACAAAATGATCTATTAGGAGCGTACTGGGAAAGCCATCAAGATGATATTACATCAGTAAAATTTCATCCAAAACAATCAGATTTATTAATATCCGGCTCAACGGATGGATTAATTAATATTTTTGACATATCACAAAAAGCTGAAGAAGATGCAATTCAAATGACTTTAAATACAGATAGTAGCGTTCATCGGTTAAATTGGTAAATTTGTTTTTAATTTGAGTTCTTTTAAATGCATAAACTTTTAAATCTTTTAGGCATAAAAATGTTTATGATAAAGACATTATTTCGTGCATAACTCATACAAATGATCTTCAATTATTTCAAGGCGACGAAGGTGATTTAATTTCTTCTTTTGATAGATCAAAAATAACTACAGCAATTAAGAGAAATTTTGAAGGTGATTGTTATTTGGTCAATTGTCATAGTATGGAAGACGATTCAATATTCATTTTAGCCGGATCAATTTTTAATAAAGGGTATTTTCATTTCATTAATATTATTTGAAATATCCTTGAAAAAAAAAAAATTTTATTTTTAGCAATGTTTTGAGATCTTTAAAAGTGCTTAATAAAAGTTTAGAACCTTTAGGTAATTTTGAAGAAAACAAGCAGATAGTTAGGGATAGTGTCTATAACAGTAAAGTAAGAAACAATAATAAACATATTTAGTTAAAAAGAAGTCATAAAATATTTTATAACTTTTAGTCTGGAATTATAGTGACTTCTGGAGAAAGCGGAATTGTGACAGTTTGGACGGAAGATAGTAAAAATCCAATTTCAAATTTGAAATCAAAAACTAAAAATCAGGATGAAGTAAAATCGTGTAAAAGAGGTCGACTCAATACGGAAGATGATTAATAAGAAAAAAATTATAATTTTGATTTAAGACAAACGTATTATAGAAATACATACATATGTATGTAATGATAGAATCACTATTTTGTATGTAATGATAGAAGAAAATTTATATTCGAATTTGACGCATATTGATTTATTCCAATTTGGAAATTAAAAATTTTTATAAATTTATTAATTATATTTTATTGATAATGGTACAATTGAAATTTTCTGTTGAATTTTATGAATATACTTAGTTTACTCTATTTAATATGCCAGAAACGAAAGAAAAATATTTAATTTCTCTTATTATACTTAACGCTAATACTCTTAAAAGCATGGAGTTATTTTTAGGAACTTTCTTTTACATTTTGATCAATTCACTTTTGAAATCTTTTACTGAAAAAAAAATTTTGAATATTAAATTATTAGTCAATTGAATAGGAAATTCTTACATTTATTAAAAATCTAAAAGACAAAATTTCTTAATTTCGATAATACTAGAGAAATTGATAAATGTAATTTTTGATAGTTAGAAATTATGAGTCTTATCACATTATATTTTGTAAAACAAATATTAGTAGGTAATTGAAAGCTTATTTTAAATTAGTCTTATGTAGAGTTAGTGTAATGGTTGCTTGGTTCAAATTCTTGAAAGAAAAGAGATATTGAACTATAATAAAATAAGTTAAATTTACTTATGTATGTATATTCCTATGTATTTATATAAATAGATAAAATTTATATTAAATGAAGAATACTTGATTTATTTAAGGTAAACTTCAGTTAAAAAAATTAATTAAAATTATATTTTTTCGTAACAAATCTGTAATACGGGATCAAATCAAATCAAAATAAATACGAAATATGAAGTAATTACCTATCCATTTTTCATATCATTGAAGAGACTATGGTTAAAATATTTCTTAAATTAATTATAAAAATATTTCTTAAATTCTAAAATTTCTTCACAAGTTATTACAATACCACATTTTTTCAATTATTTTCAATTTAAAATAAAAAATTTTATTTGAAATTTTGAATTTTATAGAATTTCAATACAATGCTTTAATACATACATGAATGCAATGCAAATATGTATCCAAAAGTATTTGTTTTTGCCTAATATTCAATTATATAATATACATTATATAATCATCATTAATATCAGTGCTATCAATATCATTTATATCAATACTGCAGTAGTATAAAAGCTTTAGTAAAAATATCATTATCAGAAATCAGTATAATTTTTAGGAATAAAATGCACAAACATATCCATATGTACCAAATATATATGCGAGTGTAAGCCTAAATACAAAAACACAACGCTAAAATGAAAGATAAAAAAAATATAAATAGAAACCTAGTAAAAAATAAAGAAAAAAGAAAACTTAAACCTCTAGCGTCAAGTTCATGCAACACTACAATTTTCCTCTTTTGGAAAATGCAACGAAAAAAGAGAAAACATTTTTCTTTGTCGTTTTCCTTTTTGACTTCATATTAAGCAATAAGAATAAAAACCAAAATTGGGAGAAAAAAAGGACTGTACATTTTGCAGTAGTTTCGGCGCGATTCAAACATTTTATATGTACTTGTACTTTGTAGTATAGAAAAAAAAAATATTTAGCACAAGAAGACCTCAAGGGAATTTTCCAATAGTTCTATACCAGTTCTGTAACTCGTCGTACAACATCTCTCATACAACATTATAATTTTTTTTGCTAATTTTTTTTTTTGTATTATTTTTATTATTGCAGTATTCTCTTTTGATTCATAATCTTAGATTTAACTTAACTTATATGCTTATATTATTATACAGAGTGATTAAGAAACAAGTCAAAAAGGAATAAAATTTTTGTTCGGAATGTATAGTGTCAAATCGTAACCGTTTCTCAGTTTACAGCTGTTTTAAGAAAATTCGGCGAAATTTTAACATACCTGATTTTTATTTTGCTTATCCTTTTCCGTTTCAAAAAAGATAGAAACTTTAAGATATAGTTTTTACAAAGGCTAATAGAGGGGAAAGAACAGAAATAGAACATTATTTGGTTTTTCATGTTATTTTCGGAACAGGCTGGGGCATTCGAATTTTAGGATAATTTTAATTTTTCTCATTTTTTATTTTACTTTTTTTTTAGTTCCGTCTTAATTTCTCATAAAATTTTTTGAAACTTCCAATATCCTTTTAATTTTAGTCATCAAATATTAAAAAAATTTTCAAGGCTGCGTTAATCTTTCCAAAAACGATTCGTTTGAAGCGAATAGAACGAAAGTTATGAGCAAAAAAAAATTTAGGCATGATTAAATTTTGCGAAATTTTCTTGGAATTTTTGTAGTTCAAAAATGATTCCGATTTTATAGAATATTCCGAATATAAATTTTGCTTATTCTCGCCCATACCATCTTTACCATATGGAATATGGCTCCAAACTTATTACTGACTAACCCTGTATATGTATAAATTTTTATATGTCTAAACTGTGTGGTAAAATGACATGAATTTTGATGTTGTTTGATGCTTTTTCACTTGTGTTTATTTACTGTGTTTATTTGTAGATTTACTATGATTTTGACGATTATTAAATTTGCTTAGCATAATTTTTTTGGTTTTTATTAAAGTTATTAGAAAAATTAATAACTACTAATAACTACTCACCAATTCTATTCTACAATAATTTTAAGAATTATGAAAAGTTATAAGAGAAGACAATGGCTAATAAAATTTGAAAATTTAATTTTTTAAATAAAATTTTAATTGGAAATTTATTTTCTATATTTTACCTAATAATAAATATATTTTAATTTTGTGTTAATTAAATTAAACCCCTAAAATCTCTGGCCCAAGATAGAATTAATAAATTTAAATTAAAAATAAAAATTTTATAGTAATTTTTATTAAAAAAGGGTGAAAGACTTGAATTGAATTCAAGTTTGTTTTGATTACCATTGAGTTTTGAAAAGTTTCATATCAAGCTTTGCTTAATACCCTTATTATGATCGGTGAAGCGAATGGCTAAGCCAGTCGAATGGACTAGGCTAATCAATTTTAAATTATGATCGATGGATGCTTTCATTCCCCAGATCTTAAATGTTGCTACCGCAAGACATCAAATAACCTACTGAAAATAATGAGGTTAATGCCAAGTACATTGTTTTTGTGTTTTTGCAAAAACAATTATTGAATTTTCCTATCCTTTAGCAATGTCGGGTTTTGTTCTCCATTAATTTAATTAAATGCTCGAATTGTTTTTGGTTCCTTTTTTTTCACGCTTAAATTAATATTAAACAATCAATATTTTTTAAAATAATTTTTAGAATTTTATGAACTTACTTAACAGATAGTTTAGATTTTTCCATTATGTCATTATAAATGCTGTAATATTAAATAAAAAAAGACACTTTTGTATTATTTTGATTTTTGGTTTCATTCGGCAATCTTGTCACACAGAATTTTTATTCGACATATTTGACAGGTCATACGCCTAAAATTTAGGCGAATTCGCTAATCATAATACCAAAATTTCATATACGCTAAAAATTTTATTCCCTTCGCCGATCATAATAAGCGCCTAAAATTTTATTCTGATTTTCTTTAAAAGGATTATATTTGGTGAAAGTTTTTTTGACCAATTTTGCTCGTTTTACTCGTATTGTGTAAAGTTGTTCGAACTAAAACATACTTTATTGACAAACTCTTTAGGAAGAAAAAACGAAAAATTGAGCAGGAGAATATGAGCACTGTACAAACTTGATAAACAAACAACTAAGGAAACACAATATTCGGACATCGGAAACCAATAGTAAATATCAACTTGGGAGTTTGTTAAATTCGGCTAAGGATAAATTGAAGATACATGCAAGATGCGGTGTGTACAAAATCAATTGTAATAATTGCGATAAATTTTACATAGGACAAACGAAGAGACCCGTTACAACAAGACTTAAGGAACATTTAAGTGAAATAAAACGTGCAAGGAGAGTAGGATTTAACCGGATTTTCGATTCTATGGTTGCAAAACACATTTATGAAACGGATCACACAATCACGGAAGATAACTTAAAGGTATTAAAAGAGGTAAAAGGAAAATACAGGAGAGAAGTTCATGAAAGCATGCAGATATACAAATCAAACAAGGACTGCCTACTAAACACGGACGAAGGTAACGCGGCTACTTGGCTCTTTAAATTAATTATTTGACCAGTTTTAAGGTTTAATACAGGTATAAATTTAGTTTGTAAATAATAAAAAAAAAAAAAAAAATAAATAAATAATCAAATTCTAGATTAAGTCAGGTAGATTATATTAAGTCAGGTATAATATTCCTAATTTTAATAGATTTCAATTTTTATTGTTTGTTGTCTTAATTAGAAGAAAATCAGCTTTGATAAAGTGCGTATGTAGCGCACGAAATATATTAGCGAAAAATAAAAGTATTTTATTCCGAATAAAAGGAAGTTTTTTTTTCACACCAATAATAAAAAAAAATACTTTATTGGATTTAAAATTTCCAACATTGTATAATCTCAAATCGTTCTATCTTAGATGATTTCATTATATTTTATCCTTTTATATTTGAACGATTAAGATTTTTTTTTAAATTGGTTTAATATTCAAAATTTTATGTAAAAAATTTCTTAATTAATCTGAAATATTTTGCGTTTCTTGTACGATTTCGACTGTATACAATACAAAATACATTTACTTCCTTATTTTATAAAATTTTGGAAAAAAAAATTAAATTTAATTGCAATAAAATAAATAAAATTTAATTTCAGTTCTTTATCAACTCAAAATATTTGTTTAAATCGTCTAAATTAGTCTTGGCATTGTTACTTACTTGATTGCCATAAATTATTAATTTTTTTTGATTTACCACTCCTTTTAACGATAAATAATTAATTTGTGATTGTAGTTGCATACTGTTATATTTTTCTCCTTTAATACTATGTATAGCAATATAAAAAGTTGGAGAAGAGGAAATTATTACGTTTTTCTTATATCATTAGTAAATTGAGAAAATCTCATAGCTTAATACCAAAAAAAAAAAATATGATGTGATCCGCTCATGACCGATTGCATTCTAAAATGAAAAAACGGTAATGTAGTAAAGATCAAATTTCTGAAGCTGAGTTTTTAAAAAAATTTATTAGATTTTTTTTCTGATATATTTAGGTGTTCAAAATAAAAAAATTTTAATGAAGTTCGATAATTATTTTTAGATTTTGTAGAAAGTATGAATTTTACCCCAAAAAAATAAACGCTAGT